ACTGCATAGAAACTGACAAACACAAACAGTCAAACACCCTTAAAAATATTTACTTTTGTGCCGTCTTACACAAAATAGCTCTTTTCTTACTGGTCATTATGTCTATGAGGAAACCTTCTGTCCTCAGTCAGCGGCAGGAAGATAGTCGCTGGTAACCTTAAAACAGGCACAATATTCCCTCATTACACACAGACAGCATGTGTTACCTACAGGTTAAAGGCTCATGCCTCAGTCACTCAGTTCAGTCTGACTCTTTCCTTATTTGGTAAAAGTGAATCTGCATGCAATTATCTTTCGAAGATAAAATTTGTTTCACTATTTGTGAAGTTGCTTCATTTAATGCCATGAACAAGATCACAGGTTCATGAAAGAAAATGTTTCATTTTTATTTATAATGTGTAAGTATCACGTGCAGGTGGTGCAATGGAGAAGAGGCGAGAGCAGGGGCAGAATTCAGAAGAACTTTTACTTAAAAAACCTGGTTATGAGAAAGACCTCGGTGTGTATGTTGATGCTTCCATGTGTCACTCTCGCCAGGAAGCAATAAATAAGGCCAATAGGATGTTGGGTTACATCTCCAGGTGTCAAGGGGGGGTGATGCTAAGATTATACAATTCCTTGGTAAGACCCCACCTAGAATATTGTGCACAAGTTTGGTCAGAATGGTCACCTTACCTGAATTACTGGGCAGCCGTGCTGTCGTGTTGCGAGTGTGAATGGGAACTGTGGAACGTGCGGACATGATCTGAGACAGCAGCAAGCCACGTCTCTGTCAGAATCACAACAAAAAAAATGTAAAATTGATGAAAATCGCCATTCTGAATGGACTATCAATAATTTTTTTACATTCCATTACATTTGTCCTGGGTATGACGTTATACTGCATCTGGCTCTGCAAGCGGTCCTCCAACTTGCAAGGAACCACTTTTTTGGGGTTGGTGGAGAGATTGGCACTCCAGCCGCCGTAAAACAACTCACAGCTGCTCGATTAAAACAAGCACGATATTTTTCTGCTCTTCGCAGGCGTAGCTCAACTGCCCGCAGGACAGCTGCACATATCATGAAGGGGATGGGGGAAAGTCTTCGGGAGCCCCATCCCTGGACGAGTCGAAACTGTCAGAGAGCTAATAGGGTCGGGCCTGCTGGGGATCGGGGCTGGTGTGGTGCTGAGGCGTCACCCGCTGCATGGCGGCACTTGGGTCCCAGTTCAAGGCGGCCCTTCCGGTAAGGCACGCGGAACGTCTTGTTTCTCCAACAAGAAGATCATGTCCCCCTGCTGTTGGGGGAGCTTCGTAAACTTCGCGTTTCAGTGGCAGCATTTCTGAGGTACACAGACCGGGGAGTGGCCAGATCTCTGTAGGTGGGTATACCTACTTTTGGTCTGGTTGGTCTGACGGCTGCCATACTCAGCGAGTAGCTGTTGCTGTAGCGGATCCCAATGGCGTCCGATGTTACTTCTTTCAGTGAGTGTATCATGATACTTGGGTGTCTTGTCTGTTGTCTCAGTGTGCGCTCCGACCGCGGTGAGTGATCTCCTATTGAGGGAAATATTGTACTCGCAACTTCGCTCAGTGGTTGATGGATGCCCACGAGATGACACTCCTCTGGTCATGGGTGACTTCAGTGCGACCACTGTCACTGACAGGGCTGGCTATGAGGATTGTGTCAGTCCCCATGGGTCTGGAAACCAAGGTGAAAACGGCTCCATGTTCTTTAACTATACGAAAGGTCAGGGACTGCGAGTCGCTGGATCCTGGTTCCAACTCCTTGAGCTGCATCGTTCGACTTGGTACTCCAATGTTAGTGGTGCAGCAAAGGAGATCCTTGTGGGCAGACGCTAGAGGCTCCTGCAGAATTGCAGGGTCTACGAAAATGCTCAGTTTGTGAATTCTAACCACAGACTTGTTGTTGCTACTCTGAAGATTCAGCTTAGATCCAGCAGGCTACCACCTACTAGGAGAATGAGGCTGGACTTAGTCAGACTCCAAGATTAAGCTGTTTCTGATGAGTTTGCAAGCAGTCTGTGTGAGGAACTTGCAGACTTGGGTGCGACTGCTGACTCTAATGTGATGTGGGAGACCTTCCGTGATAAGACCCTGAAGGTTGCTGAGGGTTGTGTTGGTGTTGCCAGTGTTCCCAGAAGGAGGTGTTTCATCTCCCAGGGCACCCTGGATATTATCGAGAGGAGTCGCAGTGCATGACTTGGTGGCAACTCCAGTCTGAACTGGGAACTGAGAAGGATGGCTGTGAGGGCTCTGAAGGCAGATAGGGAGGCGTTTGTTACACGAATTTGTGAGCAGGTGACACACCATCTGTGGTCTAGTGACCCACGTCCTGCTTACAGAGGAGTCAAAGCATAACAAACATCTGAATCTGTTCCTCAGAGACTTGCAGTCACGGCGGGTGATGGGACGGTCCTTACAGATGACACTGCAGTTGTGACACATTGGGCTGGCTACTAGGAGGGCTGCGCGCCCACCCAAGGAGGCAGAGGGGGGAGCCACCGGGCGCCGGCCACCGGCGAACACGAGCCAGGAGCCCCACGGCCACAGGCAGCAGCACGCCGGTTCCCCCCTGGGGGCGGGCCGCGCAGGCACGGATAGAGCCCGGAACCCGGGCCACTCGCATGCCCCGCGGGGGCCCCACCAGGCCCAGGCAGACCTGCACCCCCCCAAGAACCCCCACCTGGGAGACCAGGGTGACGCCCTGAGAGCCACCAGGCACCCCCATTTTAAAAGGGAATAAATCAGCTACAGCCTTAACAAGCATCAGGTGTAACTGGCTCGCAGATACTCGGAGTCATGACAATGAGAATTGCCAACACCAGATGACCATCAGACCACAACCCACACTTAAGGTCGTCACAGCAGTGAATGCATTGCAGTAATGAAAGAACATAATTTTAAGAGGCACTACAAGTCAAATCGTGGCTTGTTTTCTGTGACGTTTCCTGAGGGCTCCGAGGAATAGAGGAGCAAAGGACAAGGACTGCTAGCTTATTTTGAAAAGAGTCAAGTGGCCTTTGGTCAATTTTGCACAGAACAAGAGATCTATGATAGCATCCTTACCCAATACTGACAATGGTTCTACTTACACTTTTCTTATCTGAATGCCATCAAAACAAAGGCATGTTGTTCATGTGTCTCAGGATTGCCCTTTACTACTTGAGCCAAATTATTTAGAAATAGCAAAATCAAGGAAGTAAAATTTTTCTCACAGACACAAAAAATTCTGAAATTACACAAATATGATGTGGCCTGTCACCTGACTGAGGCATTAAAATGCTGCTTATTGTTTGTCAGGAGATGGTTTCACTGGTTTATTTTAAGTATGAATATGACAGAAGTTGGATGTGAAAAATAGTTATTTAGCATCTCCTGATACTGTTTTACTGGTTTAAGTTTGAAATTTTCGATAGTCTGTCTGATGCATCTCAGAATAAAGGAATATCCACCACATCCAGTGTTTGCGAATCTTGTACTGAACTAATCAAACGTAGCTGGATACACATGAACAGGGCACTTGACGAGCCACAATAGGAGCCATTTTTAGCCACACCATATTTTGTGCATCCCTTGAAGTTTTGTGTTTGTTACATTGTACATATACTTTGTCTGTTTATACTGTCCATATATTGTCATCTGATATTATATGACCTGCTCTTATCTTACGTCTGCGGTCAGACATCAAGCCAACTGTGTACTCCTTGCTGTATAGTCTGAATGACAATTCAATTCAAAGCAATTCAATGACACTGTCCAATCACATGAAAAAAACAACTTGTGGACCTATTTTCACAGCTCAGGATCATAGTGTGCAGGATGGCTTTTTGTGACTAAATGCAAAGAGTTCTTTCTGTTCAGAGTTTTATATTTAAGGTGGGTGGTCCATGCTGATCACGGCTGGCTTCTTCATCACATTTTGGGGGTCAGTTACCTTGATTCCCACAGATTCCCTGCTGTGTTAATCTACCTTGGAATTTATTGCTTTCTGGGGCCAACAAAAAAAGGATGACAGTCTTATTTTCTTTCCTTTTCTAATTTAGCTATTTATTATTTATCATTTAGAGAAAAGTATTGTTTGTGTAAATATGATATTATGTGATGATGCAGTTTAATCACACAGACGTGCAGTGAGCTGGTTGCCAGTAGGGGGTGATAAGAAGGGAAGTGACATATATGAAAAATGACACCACAGGAAGTGGACAGTGCTGTTGGTCACAAAACAGTTAAAGTTAGAAACAGAGAGAAAACTGAGCAGAGGAGCTGAGTGAAGCTTCATCTGCATTAAATACAATCGAGGGAGAAAAACCTCAGAAGGGAGAATCTCTGGGAGGTAACTGGAGACGCTGGAAGGAGACAGACTGTACAGCTGAGCATGAAGAAGCTCCTTGGTGTCACCTTCTGTCTCTGCTCAGGTAAGTCCAGCCTGGCCTCAGAGGAGAGCTGCTCCACACTGACTACAAAGTCCACTCAGACGTACATGCCTGCACTGCATTTTGCTCAGCAGTTCAGTGCTGAACCCGGCTGTAGACATCAGTCAGTATCTATAGTAACGGTAATAGAGATGAAAGGTTTAAAGTTCCTTAATGTTCTGTTAAAGTCTCCAGAGCTGAGCAGTGACATTGTCACTCTGGTAATGAATGCAGCTGTCAGGACTAGCATAGAGAGATGGGGAAATATCTATTTTTTCAATTGCTAAGATACATTCTGCACTTTCTCAAACCTCTTCATACAGTCTTCAATAACAACACTTGGTCAAACAGTTAATCTCTCCTCCAAAATGCACTGCAGCCACCAAAACAGTTAATCCATGCCTAAAAGAGACTCATACCACCAAAACATCAGCACCTAATATCTTTGTGGAAGAACACTATATCACACACAAAACACTAACAGATAGTATTACATAAATTATAATATGGATCAGAAGTAAAGGATCATCTGTAAAGTAACTGTGATGTCATTTGTCATAAACATTGCATTACAAAACAGAACACTTCTTCACCCTTGTCACATGGGGATCGAACGAGCAGGTCATGACAACTCTATATAATGTCCAGGAATGAACACACTATGCAGTACATTTCAATGGTCTTTATTCCTTACTATAGTGTAATGACAAAATAATCATCAGTAATTTTCAAACAAATAAAAAGAAACACAACAAATGCAAGTATTTCAGGAAATACTAAAGAAACAAAATACACAGTGCATATTCACACGGACATATGTGTGTGTGTTTATGTACATATATACACACACACACATAAACACACACTCGCAGTTGGTCTACAATTTGTATTGTATGTTTATGTTGCAGTTGGATGCTGGGTGGCGTCAGGTGTGATCACAGTGTCTGGATATGAAAGACAGTCGGTCAATATTGAATGTTCTCATAGTAACGCAGGAACCAACTTGAAGTATTTCTGTGGGAGCCAATGTGACTATAAAGACATTCTCGTTAAGACTGAAAATGGTCGTCCAAACAAGATGAATGGGAGGTTCTCCCTGCATGATCATGGATCAGGAACCTTCACTGTAACCATCACTGGACTGAGGAAGACCGACACTGGGACATACTGGTGTGGAGTAGAGCGAGCAGGCGCTGACACCTACACAGAGGTGCACCTCACAGTGATAGAAGGTCTGGTTTATCATATTCATACAGTAATCTCATTCAGTTCCTTAAATACCTGCATCCTCCTTATTTATTGAAAGCCAGTGTTTTCCTAAAGGTATGATACACCTGTAGAGACTACAAGGATTACTTTAATGTCAGTTGTATTTAAAATTGTACTTTACTCGTAATTTAAAAAGTACTTAATGAAATCTTCCTAGCTCTTGTTCCTGTACGGGCGACACGGTAGCACAGTGGTTACCACTGTCACCTGACAACTCTGGGACTGGCGTTCCAGTTTCTGCCAGGGTTCCATGTGGAGTTTGCATGTTATACCTGTGTCCAGTTTCCCCCCACAGTCCAAAAATATGCTGAGGTTAACTGGAGTTGCCAAATTGCCCCCCGGGTGTGTGAGTCTGAGTGTGTGTTGGGTTGGCAAACCATCCTGGGTTGTTCCCTGCCTTGTGCCTGTTGGCTCCGGACCCCCCCGCCTCCCCCCTCCCCGTGACCCTGTATAGAATAAGTGGTTTCAGAAAATGGATGGATGTTACTGTAGAGAAATATTTACTAGAGTTAGTGCAGAAAAGCTGACTGTAGGATCCCTGAAGGTGATAACAGACGTGTGACAGACTCCCTCTTTCACCATACAGCTCCTACCACAACTCCTACCACCACAACTACCACCACAACTACCACCACAACTACCACCACTCGCAAAACTACCCCCTCTACTGCACGTCTCTCCACAGCGCCCCCACCTGGCACCACTGTGTATAATCAGGAGACACAGCCTACAGGTACCTGCGTGTTCTTTGTCAGAATAGTACATATTGCAGTTGACCCTGCCATTACTCATCTGTCTCTGTAAAGCTTTATGTTTGGTTCAGTCGTCACAAACTGGAAATGTTTTACCTTAGAGATGTGAACTTTACTTTTCCTGAATATTCCGGTTTGTTTTGTTATGTTTCCAATCAGCATTTTTCTCTGTTCCTCTCATCAGCTCCATTGTCCACCAGCATGACCGCAGTCCTGAAGCAAACTGACTACAAACTGTGATAACTGTGCACCTGTTAGGCGGTGACTAGTAATAATTAATAGTAAGAATAGCATAACCATAACAAATGTGAATAATTTGAAATAATAGTAAAGATGTTTGTGTTACATTGGCAGATTTGTTGCAGTTACACTTGATTCCCTGTAGTTACGACACACAGTTACCTCTATGCTACTGAAAAAAGAAGAATATCCACAGTGTCCTGATAAGAGTCAGAAACACCTGAAACTACAGCAGGACACTGAGTAAAGTCCAGCCTTTCAGTGTTTTCATATAAGGACTGGATTTCGTATGAGTCTGTCTGGAATATCACAGCATCCGTGTTTGTCTGTTTATTCAATACTAATGACACGTATTCCTTATGGACACCTTTCCTGTGTGTCTCTGACGGCTGTCAGCATGTAGCCCCTCATGTTCTCAGTGATGGTTTCTGTAGTTGACCTGTGATCACTGTTCCCAGATCAGCTGGTTTACATCTCTGTGGGTCTGGGTGTCGGAGCCCTGGTGTTTGGCTTGATTGTGGCTGCAATTATCAAGGTACGACTCAATGCCGGGAAATCAGAGGGTAAGTACATCTGAATGTTACACATAATGCGCGCGCACACACACACACACACACACACACACACACACACACACACACACAGGTTTGTGATTATATCCTTGTGGGGACTCTCCATTAATTTCTATGGGGAAAACTTTAATTCCAACATGACAACCTTAACCCCTACCCAGCCATAACCTTAACCTTAAGTAACCAAACAAAATAAAAGACTTTTGGAATTTCTAGTTTTTTGATTGCATTCACAGATCTTTGTGGGGACCAGAAAAATGGTCCCCACAATGTCAAAAAAAAGGTTTTTATTTCATTGTGGGGGACATTATATGATTATAGAAGCTGTGAATGTGATACCTGCTGTGTGACAGACTTACTCTTATTAACACTCCCCAAACTACCCCATCTATGGCTCCTCACTCCACAGCGCCCCCACCTGGTACCACTGTGTATTATCAGGAGACACAATTCACAAGTACATGCATGTTCTTTGTCAGAATAATATATATTCCAACTGACTCCACAAAAACACATCAGAGATGTCATTGATGTGATCCACAGAAACCATCTCCTGCAGCATGCAGAATCCCAGCATGGCACCCACAGGCACTGGAAGACGAGAAACGGTAATCAGAACACTGAAATGATCAGAATCAGAATCAGAATTATTTTATTAATCCCCATAGGGAAATTCTGTTACATTACAAAAACAAACTCTTGATGAAAATAAAATATTTAGGAAAGTTATGTACAGATGATAGAAGAGATTTACATTGAACTATAGAACAATAGTTATTAAAATAATAACTATTTAAAAGTAATTAAAATAAAATAATAATAAAATAACCAATAAAATAAAACCTATAGCAGCAATTATATTAACACTGGCATATATTAAACATAATTAGCATAGTACCTGGTTTATTACAGCAAACATATACACAGTATACATGGTTTGTGGTTTGAGTGATCAGATGTGTGTCAAACAGTTTTACTGCGACCGGCAGGAATGATTTCCTGTGTCTCTCAGTTGTGCAGCGTGGAAGTTTTAGCCTGTTGCTGAACGAGCTCCTGTGGCTGATCATTGACCTGTAGTTTCTGTGTACAAGAACTCGTAACTTGTACAGGCAGAGCTGTTCCTGTAGCACAGGTTCTGATGAGAGTCCTCCATTCTTCTAAGAAGTGATGTTCATCCTTTCTGTTCCTCTAACTCTTGTTACGTTCTTCAGAGGGTGGATGACTATGACGTGACGTTCCAGCAGCCAGCTGCAGATACTGTTGTAAACCTACACAAAGGCCCTAACCGCGTCA